CCCTAAACCCTAAACCCTATTGTTCTTCGGAAAAGGCTCGTGCCCTTGTCAGGGCCGCTTCGGAGGACACCAGCGCCTCGAGTATGGACACGGAAATCCCTTCCCCCCGATGCCCGGACCTGAGATCAGAAAGCAGAGAATATACTAGAATAGATCATACTTGTTTATGCCATGGTATGTTGTCGTAGAACTGACTCAGAGAGCTGTGGTTAGGGATTTATGCTTTGGGACTTGCGGGTTTTAGGCTTTCTCGCTGCTTCGCGCAGAGCAGAAGCAGTTGCTCAGGCACGGCATGCACAGCCGCAATCACTCGGCCTGAGCCTAAAATTTCCAGGTCACTTTTCGTTTAAGCTTTTCTTCGTATGATTCTGACAGGGTCTGGTGATTTTACGGTTGTTATTACGATGTTTTGGTCCGCCCCTGCCAGTGCTTGACTTGTTTCTGTATTCTCTGACGGACCGGATGTGTCAGGGCCAGTGAAGCCTGAGGTGAAGCTGTACGTCCCATCAAGAACCGCGCAGGTGGGGTGTTTTCCCAAACTTACGGACCCGAGGATTCCAAACCCACAGGATGCAGACAGTAATATAGAGGCCTGAATAATTACCTATATTATTTTGGGGGTCCCTTATTGAACTTATTCTATAATGGGCCCCCAGAACCCAATTCGAATGATGCAGGCCCCCACAGTAGTCAGATGGACCCACCTCTTCCACTTTGGAGTGTAGCAGGGCCAGCATATCGGCCCCTGCCGAGCTCACAAGGCTTCTACACTGTCTACAGTCATGCCAAGATCACTTGAAATCTTGAGGCTTCTTCAGGCATTGAAGTTTCAGCCAAGTATGTCAGTATGTCGGACAATGTAGGAAGCGTCCGCAGCAAAAAGGTCTCAAGTAATCTACCGCGAATCCTGTTGAAGCGCACCACCTGGAAGCCGCAAGCCCTGAAACCGAAGTAGTGGCTTATGAATCCAGGGGGAAACTTAGGTTAAGGTTTCAGGGTTAAGAGTTTTAGGTGTGTACACCCTAAACCCTAAACCCCTAAACCCCTAAACCCTAATCGGTAGTGTAGCTACTTTAGTCACCACTGCTCTCCGAAGTCTCCGAATCCTCGGGCTTCTGCCTGCTCCGGCCTGGATACTTTAGGGCCTCTTAACAAGCTTCGCTTATAATTTAGGGTTTAGGGTTTAGGGTTATAATGTGTCCCGAAATCCGCAAACCCAGTTAATTCTGAGGGCCCCTATATTAAAGCCTTTATTATAGAACCCGTGTAAAGAACCCTTTTAGGACCCCTTAAGGGAACTCTTTGACAGATCCTCTCCTAGCTGCAGTTGTTACGGTCCTGGTGTTACACCCCTTCAGCCCCGCAAGATGTAATATGCATGTCTCAAGTCGAAAACAGAGCTCTGATCATCTCACTACACGATGCTATACCATAGTATATTGTACTAGATTACATTGTGCTATGGTTTATGAGTGTCCCTAAACCAGGGTTTATAAGGTTTGGGGTTTAGGCCGAACTGCCTAGGTCCGGAATTAGGGTTTAAGCCTAGAGCGTGGTCTAAGGTTTTTAGGTTCTCTAGATCTGAATCCCTGTGGTACTGAAGTCCTTCTCACCATGAGCATATGCCGATGTCCGGAGGTCTTGGTGCGAGACAGCCTGGTGCAAGGCTGTTCAGAGGATTCCCTACTAATTAGGGTGACTTCAGACACCCCGGCTGTAGAAATCCCTCTGCGAAACACCCATCGCAGAAGCAAGAAAGAACATGGATCATGTTACGTAGCATGGAGTGGAAACAAGGATTCTAGCATTCAGGCTTGATATAGGTGTCAGTTCAAGAGTTCGGGTACTTGCGCATGGCGGCAACGGGCTTTTCGCGAAGGGCTCGACAATTCTTATGACAAACTATCCGCACACGTTTCCTACTGCTATGGCTACTGTTGTCCTCATGTTCAGCGGTGCTGCCGCTTCGTATTCCCTGCGCCTGGCTGCTGGAGTGGCTAGAGTTGTGTCGTGCTTCGGGACTGCAGGGCCTGAGGCATTTTTTAAGTTCGCAGGTGACACATTACACCTCTACCGTTCTGTTGTTGCACATGCTTACAGCGTATGATGTGAAACATGAAGCATTCCACGTGCATCATGCATCGCGCAGCAAACTTTATTTGACAACTGACCAGAAGTAACCATAAACCGCAACGTATAGTATAGCATAGCAGAACGGAGCATATAACGGAAAGCAACGAGTTGCTGTGCCAGGTTGAGAAAAGCCAAGCGCTGTGATAGTTCACCGTAGAGTTTATCATACTCGTACTAGTACTGCTTAGCAGTATTTGACAAGACATCACAAAATGCAAACATATATATATATATATATATGTACACACCTCGGTATGCACGTTCCACAGTGTGTAACAACATGTACGCACACATGCTGATACATACATACATACATACATACATACATACATACATACATACATACATACGTATACATATATATATATATATGTACACATGTCTATGTATTAAGTCTGTTAGTTGCTTATTTGTACTCATGTGGGTGTATATATATATATGAAAGACATACATATGTATACACATACCTGCGCACGTGCGTATATGTCTGCCAAATGCTTATTTGTCATGTGTACATGTTCCTAGCATCTGCATGTCACTACCCGTATGCACTCGTGGGGGTATGGGTATGTCCATGCCTTCACACTTAGTTGCTGACTTACCTGCTTGCTCACTTACGGTCTTCCCTTTTTTCGGTGCTTGCCTGTTTACTTGCTTGCTTGCCTCCTTGCTTGCATGCCTACAAATTCAGAAGTCAGTTTGTTCATGACCGTTAAGGAGCCGACATCGCCGCACAATAACATCATGATGCAGCACTGAGTTGTATGTAGCATATAGCGGAGAGAGATGTCTACGGCAGATTTTACCGTATATGGCATTACATGAATGATACACCCAAGCCTGCGGCCGCACATGTATCCCTTCCATGGCCATGGAGCACATGTCACATTGCCTCAGCAATATCCAGAAGTCAGGTGAGCCATGCAAATTATCTGGGCGATGAACAGTATTCTCATGTCGGTGAAAAGCATGTAAGAGCAAGGCACAGAATATATGTGTGCGTGTGTATATATATATATGTATGTATATATATATATATACACATGTGTGTGTTTGTATACATATGTATGTATATATATATATATACACATATCACTACTCAGAACCCTGTCACTGAGACATGTACGTTTGAGAGGTGTAAACTTATGATGGTGGCTACAACAGCTGCAGCATCAACAAGAACCATCATCATCATCATCATCATCATCCTCATCATCACCATCATCATCGGCGCCGTTATCGTCAACTGTTGTTGTTGCCATCGTCATCGTCACCGCCATAGTCGTCTTTGATGATGATTATGATGGTACTATAAGCAATAACAACAATGTAGCATAGATGCGACGGCTGTGCCTGACTTTGCTCGTGAAAGAAATTTGAATAGCCAGATTTGTGAGTCGGTTCTTGCTCATTGCTCTATGCGTGTCATCCTGCGGCGACTTTCCCGACGGCGAGAGGTGGTGTGAAGATCTGGGTTGATGCGTCATTCCTTGAAGCCAACGGCTTGGACAGTCCGGCCCGGTGCTTGGTGACGCCGAGGGCAGGGCTGCAAATCATTGTCGACCCTATGATCGCCTTGTCAGTTTGATGCAACAAGCCCACCTACCTGAAACTTTATCATAAAAGCCTGCGAGCTGTTAAAGCACAAGGCTTTCAGAACTGTACAAGGCCATTCAGCGTCATCCAACGCCGCAGTGTCCTCCGAGGCCGGCATGCAAATCGCGCTCCAGGCATTCAAAGACGGCAAGGAGGCCAGCTGCTGTGTTGATGACTTGGGATTTGGGTCTCTGGTGCAGTGGGTTTTGTCAGGCCTTCTTTAATACCATAGGCTTTTGTAGATGTTGGCTGTGTGGCTTAGCGACATCGCAAGTCGGTGCTACGAGCTTTGCATCCGTTTGTTTCGGTTGAGATCCAGGGCGATGCTGGCTGTGTGCAGGTTGTATAGCTTGGCATGTTGGTGTGTCGGGTGCACTCACTTATAAGATTTCCATTTTGTGCTAAGGCGGCGGGTTCGGTAGATGGTTTACGTGTTTCGATTCGCAGGGCAGGTAGGCTCGTGATAACATCAACTTCCTGAATTCAGACCCGAGCTTGAACTTAAAGTCATCAACCGCAATTCGTTAACCCGTCTGGCACTTGCCGCAGAACCTCGCACTCCAGCCCCTGAATCGGAAGTTCTCCCTCTAAAAGCCCAAGTGCCGAGGAGATGATGGACTTCGCGTTCAACTCCGAGGGCTGCGTTGCACTCCGGCCTGTGATCACCGTAACCCTAAACCCTAAACCCTAAACCGTAGCACATGAGACGATCATGCTCCCGACTGCGGTGAGTAGCTTCGTCTTCTTTTAGCACTACCCCTTTAAAGGCTCCATGTACCTTTATAGTAGATACTTGGGCCTCAAAGGGGTCCCTATAGAGGTAGTTTAAGGCCTAAGTATCTACTATATGGGTACATGGAGCCTTAGGGCTAATCATGAAACAGATAGCCTTCTAGCTTATGTGGATGTAGTTGGTCAAATCGGAGCCAAACTCTGAAGCGGGGACATGTGTGGCTTGTTTTCCTTGGAGGGGGTCTTTTTGTATGAGGTATCCTGTTAACCGGTTCAGGTCTCAGTTAGGGATGCCTTACATGTCGGGGAAGACCCGAACAAACATTGCCCCAATAGTCAGAACCACAAACCAAGGAACAAAGAACAATGGGAAAGCCAACCTTGGCAACTCAGGAGCTTGGTCTCGACTTCGCCGCCACCTTCAAGGCGATCCCTAGCGGGGGAGGGGTTAGGGGTAAGATTTCAGCATTTAGAGCTGTAGCCGGGTACTTTCCGCATCTTTCACGGCACTGGAACCCGTCGAGGCGCCTGAGTTGCTTCGAGGCTCTCAAGGGTCGTAGGTTTCGGGTGGATGCATATGAAGTAGGCTGGAAGGTCGGGATGCCGCGTTCTTGCACCGTTTCTTGTTGTATGGCTGTCTGTTCAGGCCAAGCAAGAAGGGAAGCAAGGGGGGCAAGAACTCCGGTTATGATCAGCAGTTCGAAACTAGCAATGCTCCTCCTCGGTGTCGAGAACATATGTTTTCACGGTTGAAGGAGGTGCCAGACGAGAGTGCAAAGTGCAGGTTCTCCGGGCGGACGGCGAGGAGCCGGGGGGCTGGCGGTTTCTCTCTTCTTTGACGAGGTTTGTGTTGTGACTTCGCGTTGACATATTGTGGCTCTTGGTCGGGAACTTTGGAATTCGAGAGCTGTTCCAAACCACCTGACCAGAGATCCGGCATGGAGGAGCAGGTGGAGGATGCTCTTGGTGTCCGTTATCTGATAAGTCTCACCGTGCCTACCCCGGTTGCACCGATCCAAGACCCGAACCGTGTCGATCCGGGTGGTCGGACGGGGAGAGTTAGGGTGGCACGCCTGCGACACCTGAGCAAGGCCTCATGTCCATAATCTGGGCGGCATTTAGATAATGTAAGTTGTCCGTGGGTACGGTACGAATCACGTGCAGTCAGTTGGATAAAGACAACACTCAGCAAACAAGTTCATAGGGATAACTACTTATGTTTTACTGAATTTACTGCGACCTTGGGTAGGCTTTGTTCTTCATCATATCGGCACATGCATGCATATGTGTGCGTCTTATGTGTGTATTCTTGCAGATGCGTGCACACCTGCATACATATGCCGTATGCATGCACACCGATGACTCTCTGTGTAGGTGCACGTGTACATGCAGGTCGGGAGGTAGACAGACATTCGGATAGCTACACAGCCAGTGGTGGCTGTGCCGGTCTATTTGATTGGCTGCCCTCGTTCCTGTTGTCACTTTTTCCGTCTGTCTCTCTGTCTCTCTTGATCTTTTCTTTGTCATTCTCCGCCCTTGGCTCTCTGTGTTCTTTTTTGAAATTGTCAAGTGGGTGGAATCGCAGAACTCTGAGAAGATGTCGCGCGCAGCGCCGCTCTGCGCCCCTGTCGAAGCATACGCAACATGGCTGCTAGCGGTGTAGCTAAGACTCCGTGTGCGTGAACCCAAACCTCAACTTTCACGTCTCTTCTACCCTTAGCCCGGATGCGAAGCTCGAAACCCCAAGCTCCTGCTGAAATTGCTGAGCAAGTGATGTGCAGTCGTGCGCAGGAGCTTCCTTGCAAGGCGTCCAAGGATGGCTTGTACCGAGTTGCAGAGCCGTCAATGGAGGTTTAGGTGTAGGCTTACAGGGTCCATTCCTTTCGTGGTTGCTGACAGAATCTCGAACAAAGGTGTTGAAGTTAGGATGCAGTTGTGGAGACGTGCTCGATATTTCAAAGCTACAAACTGAATGCCCGAACTTGGAGATGAAATCTGTGGCGGCTGCAGGGTTTGGCATTTAGGTGATGTCGTCAGTCGATTTTGCCGCCGAAGCACTGAGGTTTATTTCCCTGGCGACTACGCCGTGGCTGGTCGCAGCCTGAAACATCCAGGGCAGTCAGAAAGAACAGAGAGCTCCTGTGCCTCCAGAAGTCACCACACCCATGCCTGTAACCCTTTAGCCGAGGTCTTGGCTACATCAAGAACGGCAAAGGATCGCGCCCGGCTGTCTCGCCTGCCCCAGTTATTCAATCAATATTGAAGCTAAGAAATATGATATATTATAATGTAGTATACTGATGTTTTAAAGAGTATAGTACAAACTAAAGGGCCTCCAGATCCATCGCAAGCAAACTTGGGCACCCTCACACCCAGAATCGTCTTACCGCTGCCCCGCAACTAGTCTTGCAGCATCCCTTGTCTTGCCGTGCGTGATGTGTTTGCGCTTGTAGAAGCAGTCTCTTGCGATACCTGTCAACCAATTCGAAGCTACTTTGATGCAACATCACAGCTTCTTTCAGCTTTTGTAGGCCTCGCAGCCATCGACAGGAAAAGCCTGATAGCAGGGTTCCCAAAACCTGAGCGGGTCCAGTTGGATTAAACAGGACTCCGACACAATACACTCTAAATCAGAAACTGTATTTTTCAGAGTACAGGCAGGTTGTGGAGCCGTCAACCTGAAAGCCATGTGCAGCCAAAGTTGTTAGTGAAGCGGCACCGCGAGTGCGACAGGGGGAGCATATTGACATACATTTATGCCTTGCATACACATAATACAAGAGTACCTACCGAACAACCGACAAACATGCGCCCTTACGCATATAGAGAGGCACAGGTGCTCCGCCACTTCGTTAAAATATATACTTTCTCCCTGGAACACGAGTAATCACCACAAGCGGATCTTTCTGGTATATCTTTCGCATGTTTACGCCGTACGCCAGCAAAAAGAATCCTGAACTCTTGGACCCTTACGCCCTGGTCTCACGAACCGTTATTTCGCTTTTAGTTAGGGTTTTAATCACACTGAAGCCCCTAAAGCCGAAAACAAATCCTAAACCCTCAACCCCTAGTTTCGCCTGGCAAGGAGTCGCAGCCGCGAAGGCCGCAGCAGAGGCCTCACCGTTCTCCTCTATGCGCTGAAAGTTTGTGTACTCTGGAGAGTTTAGAGATTCTGGGTTTGGGGTTTAAGCAGTTAGGCTTGAGAGTTTAAGGATTGGGGTTAGAGTTTATACTGTTTATACTCGAAGCCATGTCGCGTAGATCGTATCTCGCTTGAACGGCGGACTGAACAGGATCCCAAACCTCGACCCCTTTTCAAGACCCACGGATTTCTTTATAAGCATATGAGAACCGGTATCATTGTATATGAAGCCGTACAACAGGGGCCGAACCCTAAACCATGTGAGGTTTCATGTAGCGGAAGCCCAACCTTAGGGCCCCGTTGGGATAACCCTAAACCCGCCCCCGCCCTTTCCACCCCACTCTTTCCCAGCCTGGACTGGTCCCCACTTGGAGGTTCGTGGCTAGTTATAAGTGGGGTTATAAGTAGGGTACCTGTAGTTATAACCCATATTAGGGGGCTTCTAACTCCACTTATAAGTACCCATGAACCTCCAAGCACTGAAAAACCGAACAGGAGAACTTTAACACCCAATAATGGCCAAGTTTTGCTGTTGTTGTTTTATTTGTCTTAGTATTATTTGTATCATGGTACCCTAAGCCCTAAACCCTAAAACCCTAAACCCTCTAAAACCCTAAACCCCAAGCCCGGAATCCTAAAACCCTAAACCCTAGGCCCTAAGCTATTGTACATATGTATACAAGGGAAATCCGACAGGTGTCGGGTGGCTACGCAACCGAGGAGCCTGCTCCGGCTGTGGCCGGTGCTTGAGGGCGCCACCGGGGACGCACTTGTCTAGGTTGATTTTGGGGACCCTAAACCCTAAGCTCTAAACCCCGGGACATTGTTGATTTCCTTGTTTGGGTTTATAAGGGACCCTTTATATGAATATTTTTCAGAGGTTCAAAGGCCAGCTTGGGGTGTAGAGTCTATAGAGTTTGTTGGGCTTCGGGTTTTGGATTCAGGCTTGGTTTGTACGGTTGAGGTGTTTGGGGTGCTTGGGATTGTGAACTTCGAACATGATCGAGTTTAGTTCTACAGGGAATTGGCGATGAACTTGTTAAACAGGCTGTACATACTACCGCATGTAGAGCTGAAGAATGGTGGGACTCTAGGAGCAAGAACAAGCAGAGCAAATTAAATAGTAACAAAGAAGAAGAAGTACGTTTGTACACACGCAGTAAAAACTCCGGAACCCTGATGCATCTTGTTGCAAGCCGGTAAAGTCGGACAGGGCTGCTATTGCCACATTTAAGCATCTTGGATGAACCTTGAACTCTATAGACCGCGCCTGAACAGAACTTGGCTAGCCGTGCCAATGCTGCCCCGAGAGTTTTAAGATCTTGAACAGTCTTTGTGATCTAGCACTAGATTGATGGTGCTTATCTCCGATGATGGGTTTGTGTTGCGTCACTTCGTCTTCTACTTGAAGTTTCATGCGTGGCTGGAAGTGATGGGGGCTGTAACTACCGTCCTGTTTGTGGCTTAAAGTAAGACCCTTCTGAAGGCCTGGGACTCCCGGGGCCAAGGACCAGGGACAACCCTTGGGCAAGCTGACGAAGATGCGAAGACTTTTTTCCCCAAGAGCTGACTTTTGAGAGTTGTGTTGACTGGGAGATGGGTTCATGCCAGCGACATCACAGTGAATGGGATGTCACCTGGCCCCTGCAAAGGATCGGATCCAGTCCTTGGCAGAGAACGAGTTTTGCAAGTCAAATCAAACCCATGTTATTCATCAGAAACCTCGATTTGTCTAGCAAAGGTTGCAGCTGTCTGCTAACTTGACCCCAGTCGCATAAAGTTTCTGCGCTGTGCACCATGCTGAGCCATCAGGCCGGCACTGTTTCAGAAATTTGGGGGTGGGCTACGGAAGACGCCGTTGCCTCTCACCTCTTTCCACTTTCACCCGACTCGGGGCAGAAATGAGAGCTCTGAGCTGAGAGATATTGAAGGAGTTCAACAGGGCTTAGGGACTTTATGGTAAGAACCATGGACTCGTCGCTAACACGTTTTTGCACCTGGCTTGAGCCTGCGAAATCCGCCTTTTCCACGATTTAAAACGCAGACTCCGGTATACTGATCTGATATCCATGTGATGCTGTTCGAGCTGGTTTATGCAGTTGCAGGCTGACAAGGGTCTCCCTTGCCCAAAGTAAAGGGTATATATAGTAATATGGTAGCTACTTTGTAGGTATTTGGGCCTCAAAACTATAACTATACTATAACTTGGACCCCTTGGGTTGTTTCTAGCTTCCATCAGCAGATTGCGATAGAGGGTGCCCATTCGTTTTTTGGAGAAGCTCTAGGTTACAGCTTGCTAATATATCAGCTTCTGCAACCCTTGCCAGCCGTGCTACCAGAAAGCTGCCGGTGAAGGACCGGCACGGACCTACGGCAGAAGTGTTCTCGACTCCTAGCAAAGGCGTTCTGCCAACTTAACGGCCCAATTTTTCCTGGCGCTGCCATCCCACTGCTCAGTGCAAGGCACAAGGGCTCCTGCTCCATGTTCGTGTCCAAAGTGCACGGGCCGCTCGAGGAAATCCGAAAAGGAAAGCCAAGTCCTTGATTATGCATTATGCCCCAAACCGTAAACCCGAAGCCGTAAAATAAATAAGGCCCTGACACAGTTCTGGGGGCAGGCACCCAGTGTGCCAAAATTACGGGGATATAGTCCTTGAACCCTCAAATGAAATACACATGTCGTTCGCATTGCTACATTGCGCATCTATGCTGTGTGTGCTTGTTCACGACAGTGCGGCCGTCTGTAATTGGCTCAAGTTGCTGCGCTTGTCCGTCCAACAGGAAGAACCGTTCTATGTTTTATGTGTATGTATATACATATATATATATATAGATGCGTATTTGTGCAGATATGCATGTATTCAGACATCTTGTGAGAAGGCATGAGAATGCACGCTCGCATCTGACAATCTCTTCGGAGGGCTGATGCTACCCACCCTCTGAAGCCCAAGCCTCACCTAACAGCCCTAAGCCATGCTAGGCATATATATGTATATAGTATCGATTTGTTTGCTTGTTTATACATAAAAAGATGTACATATGTATGTATGTATTTTCAATGTATTTATTCACTTGTTTATGTTTATACTTGTTTATTCATACATACTATTTTGTATTCCATTTTTTAAACCCCCGAACCCAAAGCCTTAGCCCATACCAGACATATGCATGGTGAGACATCTCGGCACTCTGGAACCAGAGCGCCTCATCTGAGACGGAGAGCGCACCAAGCTTAAGAGTCAGGAGGGTTTATGGGCCTCAGGGTCCAGGGGCGTAGGTTTTGGGGAACAATACTTCTCACATCATGTGAAAACTCAGGCGAGTTTGGGCAGATGTGTTTGAATCCAAGGCGTCGAATGTTTGTCTCATCCTGCTGATGCGCAGCGAGAGGCGTCGGGTCCTCGAACTTCTGCTCACAGCTTCTACCATGTCCCGCAAAGATTGAATGTTTGAATCGGGGGTTGTTTGGCATTTAGATTGAGTGAGCGGTTCTGGCTATAGATCTGCATGCGCTCTTGATCTCCCACCATGTCATTCGGATGCTATGCCATTGCATGCCCTGTGTGTTCAAGACCGTGCAGAACTGTGCTCCAGGATGGGACGTGTTTGGAGACAGATGCTTTCGCTTCGAAGTCACCGTTGAGACAGCCCTTTCGGATGCAGCTGGCTCAAAAGCAGGATAAACAACAGGTGACCGTCCGTGGCTCAGGAGGTCGGCTGGTTGACAGGCCTGTTCGCACAGGCATGGATGCGGATCATTTGAGGATCTGACAGCATCGGTATGCATCAGCAGATTGTATTCAATAGCATCTAGCCTCAGCAACGCAGCCACCGCCACACGTTTTGGACGGATGGACGCATGAGGTCGACAGTACGTGTGTGATGATCTATGTTGCCATCGTATGTCATCTTATTCCAGCGTCTGACTTTATAAACAGAAGAAATAACACTCTGCTCTATGCTGTGCCCACTCTCATGGCTTCCGACAGCGCACCACCAAGCGCTCCGGCGGGACCATGCGCGATCACCTCGATGGCGACGAGAGGCTAGCATGTCCGTTTCATTGAAGTCAAAACATGACTGTCGCGCTGTCAGATCGCAGACAACATGGGAAGAAGCAGTAGTACTTTGATGGCAGCGAAGCCATTCTGTAGCGCAGCCAAATTTGCGTAAGAGCAGTCAATGGCGCCGCTCGCACGTGTTATAATTTATGTGGCACAAGCACGATAAAATCCTAAGGTCCTAAGCATTAAACTTGGACCCCCAAAAGCGGGAACCCAAAGACACAAGCATTCTGAGAAGCAATGCCCATTCAGTACAGGGGAACCCGGATGCAAAACTGCTTGGACGGGCGTAGTACAGAGGCCTAAATAATTACCTATACTATTTTGGTGGTTCCTTATTACAATTATAGTATAATCTACCCCCAAACCCTATTCTAATTATTAAGGTTCCTTATTACAACTATATTATAGCATACCCCCAAACCCTATTCTAATTATTAAGGCCCCTACGCTACTCTGCTCCGAGTCCCATAGATTCGGGACTTCGGGCTGGCGGATGTCTGACGATGAAGCCCTATAATATAGGGGCCTTAAAAAATAACAGGGCTACGGGGGTTCCTTTAAAGGGTTCTTTAAAGGGTTCCTTAAAGGGTTTTATAGGGGCTACTATAAGGGTTTAGGGTTTAGGGGCCTTAAAAAATTGAAATAGGGTTTGGGCGTGCATTATAAACTGATTATAATAAGGAACCCCCAAAACCCTATGGCAACTAGTGAGGCCCCAACATTACACCCTAAAGCAAATAATCTTAAACGCCAGGCCACTACCTCTTAGGCCTTCTGAATATGGCTTCGATGTTCTGCCCCGAACCCTCTTCCAAAATATTTCGGCCCCCAACACTGGAGCCTTGCAGAACACGTATAGAGAACCCGTTATGGCATCCCTTAGATAGACCCCTTCTTAAGAACCCTCTGGAAGGAACCCGGAACCTTCTTCTGACTGTTTCACAAACCCTAAACCCTACAGGCGTTCTAACTGGATTGACAGGAAGAAAAGAGGTCCCCGGCAACAACAAAAACCTAGCCAGTATTCCCTAACCCTCCAGGTAGGGGCTCTAGTACCCTATATAGTAGGCACCTGGCGGGTTAGGGATTCGTAAGGCTTCTTTTTGATCCCCTCCGAAAAATCCGTGAGGCTCTCCTGCCCCTGGCAGCGCTGCCAGCGGCTGCCCGCGGCCGAGGTTCCGAGCGGCGGTTAATGGTCTTTTGTAGGGTTTGGGGTTCCGGCTAAGGGTTAGGCTTTATAGGGTTTAGAGTTCCGGCTTAGGGTTTATTGTAGGGTTTATCTACGGCGGCCCTGCCTTTTGCGCTGGGTGCGGTTCAGCTTCGAGTGCTGCATTGGCTCGGTGTTTGACTCGGCTCGGCTCGGTGTTTTTGCTTGGCTTGTTTTCGATCGGCTTTGTTTTTGCCGTTGTGGCTTGGCTCAGACGGCTTGTTCTGGCGTGGCCAGCTTAGCCAAGCCGAGCAGACCCAAGCAGCAAAAGCCGAACAACTGAAAGAACCGGAACCCTACTCGGAGTACCCAGACTTCAATTAAGGCTGGAGCGCTTTCTGCGCGTTTTTTTGCTTTTTTATGGTGAGAGTCTCGGACCGGTGGATTGATAAGCAAGGGCTTCTCATCGCAATTGCTTGGTTTTTGGGTTTGGGGTGAAGAGGTAGGCTGGCCTTCGCAGCCTTGCTGAATATTGTGTGCCTGGAGGCGGGGTTTTCCATTTGAGTGGATGAGGAAGAAGATTGTAGGATGTGAAGTATCTACGGGTCGGACACCCAAAACGTGCACATATATGTAGTAAGGAAAATAATGATGCCAATGTTGAGGATGGTGACTTGACACTGGTATTCAAACGAGCGGCATGATGGCTGCCGCTCTGTTGTTCGAGTTCGTCACTGCTGCAGTGGGATGGTCGTTGGGAAACCGTGACTCTTACAAACGGACTGCAGGATCGCAGTCGCCGTTGCTTGTGGTACAGCTGCATTGTAAGGATCTCGTAATGGTAGATGTTGGAACTGAGTGCTCCACAAGATGGAGTGAAACGAGTTGACAACTTGATTTGTCGTTTCCGGGTAGTTGGGAAATGGCAACTCCATGCATGCCGCGAAGGCTGCTCACCTTGTACTGTAACCATTCTGATATTTACCGTCAGTGTGTAGACATGCAGACACAACGTCGGATTCAGGTTGGCTATGATCGCTTTGCTCTTGTCCTAGAACCTAGCCACCTCACTCTTCGGGACTGGCAGTAGTTCATGAATTCATATGCTTGCTGTGCCAGCCTTGTGGTCAACTTGCACGTGCATGATACCTGCATGCTCCCTGGAGGAGCAACATGGTTGCAGTGGAGTGCGGGCACCTACCTACGCCCCGCAGTCAACACCAAGCATCTCAAATCCCTCATGCAAGCACTCTACCCCTAATCCTCGAGGTACCTACTATATAGGGCCCTAGGGGCTCTAGTACGCTATATAGTAGGTACCTGGGGGGGCCTAACCCAAAATCCTAAACCCTAAACCCTAAACCCTATACCCCACACGAAGGCCCTAAACCCTAAACCCTAAACCCTAAACCCTAAACCCTAAACCCTAAACTGCTTCAGACTTCTGAGCCTTCTGCAGGAGCGAAGAGGCGGCTGAACCTGCGCGGCAAAGAAGGTCTGGCATACCCTAACCCCCCAGGTACCTACTATATAGGGTACTAGAGCCCCTGGGGCCCTATATAGTAGGTACCTGGAGGGTTAGGGATAGACCCCAGCCGCGGTAACGGGAACCCCGGTTTAGGGTTTAGGGTTTAGGGCTTAACCTCAGCTATAAAACTCGATCCCCAGAACATCATCATTTGGGGGGAGTTCTTCCAATATGGATCCCACATACTAGATCTTGTTAGGCTCCCATCTTTTCTGAAACTCCCAAGAGATGTCAGCCTCCATGCAGACTCGACAGGACTTCTGCGACCACAAAGAGGGGGCGACAGAGGTGAGAGCTGCTTTTGCATATATATATATATATATATATATATATGTGTGTATCTATTAATATACATATATCTATATATCTATATCTATCTATCTATCTATCTATCTATCTATCTATCTATCTATCTATATATATATATATATGCATATGCGTGTATTTGTGCGTGCATGTACAGGTCGAGTTATGCGTAGATGTGTATGTGTGTCTATGGACATATACATGTTGTGTATCTGTATGTATGTATGTATGTATGCATGCATGCGTGGGTGGGTGGCTGGGTGGACAGATGGATGGAAGGACATACGTATGTACGTATGTACGTATGTGGTACTCGTTGCTTTGTTACATTGCACAAGACTTTGTCGAGCTGCCACAATATCGTGTGTCGTGAGTCGAAGTTGTACATCATAGTACAGCCCGCTTCAACTGCAGCTGTGCGAGGCCCTTCGAATTCCAGCCCAGGGATTGCGCCTGCGCCGAGAAATCGTCAAGGAGCCTTCACCCTGCTGGTGCTCGCTTGGGTAGTCAGGATTTAGTCTAACGGTTTATGAGTTCATGCTTAGGGTTTTGTGATTAGTGAGCTCAGCCCGACTGACCTTCCTTGACGGCGTCAGCTGGTTTTTAACCGGATAGGATCTGGCGTTGGGAAGCAGATGTCGGTCGTAGCAAACAACCCCAATGCAGGATCTCCATCGAGATCCGGAATTGTTTCAGCTCCACCGACTGGCAAAGGTAGGAAAGGACGGTTTGAGGGTCCTGGTTTAGGGCCTGGGGATTTGGGAGGGCAACCAGCACTGCAGCAGCCCGTCACTTGCGTGTCTTACTTTGGTTGATGTTTGCGAAGACATTGGGAGCCGGAAAGCAGCATATTTCTGTCTTGTCACTTCAGGACTAGACCTCTCACTTTCGACGGCAACGGAGAAGGATGTTTCAGCTTCCTTGCAGCTATGAGCTTAATGTTGACCGAACCACTTGTCGCAATTGCAACCCACAGGTGGGTGATTGGTTTGATGGGGCCTCTGCTACCCACCGAATCGAATAGACAGTGATGACGAAGGGACTCAATACAACAGGCGGCACGAACCCAATGGGTTTTCAGAACCAATATGCGAGATCTTCAAAGGATCTGCCTCTCGCGTTGACATGTTCATGATATCTGCAGATGGAGAACCTAGGAACGGCAGCTTGGTGAGTTTCGCGACTGGCTGCGCGAAGGCTGGAGTTGTGTAAGTGCGCCGTGCAGTCAACAGTAATTAATGAGTAGCACGGATTCTTCGTCGTAAGCGCAGCGGTAAGTGGTAGCGGTCACAGTTATGGTGGAAGTGCACTTCTTGCTAGTGGTAGGAGTAGCGTCAGCTTCCGGGAGGCGGCGTCAGCATGCGGGGCATCCACGTGCGCAAAGTAGCGGACCGAGGAGACGCTGCCAATGGTTTTGTTTTGTGATCTCTCCCTAACCCTCCAAGTACCTACTATATAGGGCCCTAGGGGCTCTAGTACCCTATATAGTAGGTATCTGGGAGGTTAGGGTCTGTGCGGCAAAGTTACAGCCCAGCGTGGAAGCCCGTTCTTCGTTTATGGTCATATAAGGGTTGGATCCACACGCTTCATGCAAGTGGCAGATCTAACTCTGCGAGGATTGGGGCTATTTGCGGCCCGGAATTTCGACGAGGCACCAAACCCTATGTAGGTCTGCACGAACCTTGACCTACCTTGATCGTTTACCCTAAACCCTAGCCTTGAACCCTAAACCCGGTTTAGGGTCTATAGGCTTTTGGGCTTAAGGGTTTAGGGTTTAGGATTCTGAACCCCCTTGGTTTAGGGTTTAGGGTTTACTTGAAGGTCAAGAAGATTCCTGACTGGGGACCTTGGTCTCTGCAGGACATGCCCAAAGGCTGCCTGCTTACATCTGCAGATCTCTCTTCCTTCGTTCTGGAATGTGTCCATGTCCTTTGTTGCGGCCATTTACTGCAACCGGATCCCAACCATGAGCGCAGAGTTTCTTCTGCCTGCAGGGGGAGACGCTTTTTCGAGTACCTCGCAACCTGTTCATCGAGGCAAGGCGCCTACAATATGGTCCTGGGTGGTATATACTTTCATTGCGAGCTTCATTTGTTCATGGACCGTTGTTTGCCTACGTATGCATTCTCTTTATTCCTTTTCCACTGAAGGCACTTCTCCCCTGCTTCTGCATTCGCACCCACTGACTAGCCGCCTCGTCACCGGGAGCTACACAAGTGGAAGGGCCATCTTGATGCAGCAGAAATGTAGCTCTGATAGCAGGAGTAGCGTCTGCACTAAAACGGTTAACTAGAAGCGGAAAAGACCCACCTTCAAACTTCTTCTGCCCATGCTAGTGACACGGTAATTCTCGCACTCGCAGCTGCTGCCAAGAGGACGACCTATTCGTGACAAACACTTTCTGTTGCAGCACAGGGTGCTTGATTCGCGTAAATACGGCAACTACCTCCACTCTACACCCGAGTCTGAAATCAAGACCTGTGAACTGACCTGGAGACCCTCACAGGTGGATGCAAGACACTTCAGCGAGGCCTCAAACGTGATGGTCCTGTCCAGGGCCAGGGCCCATGAGACGGTCGCCAGTTGGGGGTTTCTGAAAATAGGGGACCCTAATATAGTACCCTAAATAGTAGGATCCCTATTATAAGGACCCCAAGATAAGGTACCCCTTGTTTTCGGAAACTCCCAGTTGATTTCTTGTTTGGCCACCCTTCGCTTCTAGTTCTGCTGCCACGACTGCGGCTGCAACAGCTGCCGCTGTAGTTACAGCTGCTACCGCTGTTCCTACTCGTGTTACCTCCGCGGGACTTTGGCTGCGCTGCTGTTCCTCCCTCTCTCTTTCCCTCACTTCCTCGTTGTTTTTTTTACGGCTCTTCCTCTCCTTCTTTCTTTGCTTCTATCTCTCTCTCTCTCTCTCTGTTTCACGTTCAGCTCGTCCGCTCTTTTTTCGCATGGTCTTTGTTTTGTGATTTGTTGTTCCCTCTCGCTATCTCCCTCTCTCCTCTCTCGTGCTCTTTCTGGCTGTTCTGCTCTTTCTATCTTTGTCTCTGTCTTCTTGTTTCTAGAAACAAAAAGACAGGATCTTTCTCTCTTTTTGAATTTATCGCTCCCTCTCTCTCTCTCCCTCTCTCTCTATCGCTATCCTGTTCTCCGGTGCTCCCCTTCTCTTGTTCTCTCGTTCTCTCTCTTCTCTCTGTATCCTTTCTGCTTTTGTTGTCGTTCCTTGTTCCGTTCGTTGTTGCTGCGTGGTTTTGCTTTGCCGTATGAACACTGAACTTTACTTTCGAGGCTGCAAGTGCCCAAGACGCCGGCGCAGCATCGGACGGTCCGGCAAGGAAGTCCGTGCTGGATATGAGCCGAGCTCAGTTTGAAGCCTAGGCGTGGGTCACTTTAGCATTGAGGGCTTCGGGCCTCGAAGGTGCAGGGCGTCGGCTTCTAAGCATGACGGCGACGTGCTCGCTGAGCCTTTTGTAAGTGATCTACAGCTTTGTGGTCTCAGACTCCTAGTTTCTTGCAAGAGCTTTTCTAGTTGTTCAGGTTCGGAAAGTATAGGCAGCCAGCATTGGCCCATGTTTAGACGCCTCCCGCATCGTTTTCTCCGTGTCTTGGCGGCTTCATGCATGTATGTGCTGTGCTACAGATAGTAGATAAGTCTAGAAGCAAGTTATTTAGTGAGAGCTTCCAGGTCTGTTCTACGACTCCCTGCTCAGGTCAAACTGCTGCAGGCTTTCAGGGATGTCACTAAAGCCCCGGAACACCACCCCAAGCCGAAACGATAAAATTCCCAGTGCCATACCAACAGCATAGGCCCGCCCCTACGGAGTTCCAGGCCCTGGAATCCTAGAGCCGTGAGCCCCAAACCCCAGACGGCCTCAACCCACAACCCAAAGCCCTAAACCCTAAACCCCAACCAAAAGCCCTAAACCCTAAACCCCCAACCAAGAGCCCTAAACCCTAAACCCCCAACCAAAAACCCTAAACAATAAACCCTAAACCCTGCGGGGTGTCGACTGAGGGAGGCATGTCAGCCGCTGGTAAGGGCGGTTGTTCTTTCAGCTCGTGCTCGAGCTTCTCCTGGTCCTAGGACCTTTCGTCGGATTGTGCAGGCGAAAAAGGAGCTGAAACAAAAAAAAGCTAAACCCTAAGCCCTAAACCCCCAACCAAAAGCCCTAAACCCAAAACCCCCAACCCTAAACCCCAAACCCCCAACCAAAAGCGCTAAACCCAGTTGCTGTTGGCCAACCAATTTCCGCTTCTCGCCCAGCCCCAGCCCAGCCCTTGGTCATCCGGTTCCAGCCCAGCCCAGCCCAGCAGCCCAGCAGCCCAGGCCAGCAGCCCAGCCCACAGCCCAGCCCACAGCCCATTGGCTTCTGGGGCTTTCGATATCGTGGATACACGACCATGTTGGCATCTACATGCATCCTCAGTAGCGGTAACGCTGGTAAACGTCAGCTACAATAAGCCGTTTTGAATTTGTTGTGTCGGGTCTTTTGCGCTTTTTCCGCCCGTGGGACCCGAAACTTGTCATAGTAGCCGCATTCGATCTTCGACATTGCATCAGCTTGTACGTCAGGGATCAGCCATTGTACTAAACTTTTCGGATCCGATAACTTGTGCCAGCCCCCATTTTTCAGCGATGCCCTGGGTCAAGTGTACATGCGGGCTGAGCTTCTGGGGCTCGACTGAAAAGTCGTACAGCTGCAAAGACATGAGCGCAATCACGTTGACGAGGGCGACTTGGAGCTCGACAACGGGCCGTCAATGCGCGACACATGTCTTTTTGTCATTATGAGTCATAGACACAACCATGGTGCACATTCGGGCTGCAAAACCTGGTTGAAGAAACTGAAAGTGCCAGAGCGCTCTATCTGTGTCGTCTATGGCTACAAGCTCCATAAAGACCACCACATGGGGAGGCCGTTGAAGTCCAACGATGGGGTCCACCACCGGTGGTTCCCCAAGGTTAAGGAGCTTTTTGGCTAAGCGGCAACGCGCGGGCCAGAGGACCACCACCGTCTGGTTTCTCGAGGCAGACGCCCGGACTGAGGCCACCATGGATGAACTTTTGAGGTTGGTCAACGGTCCGAGGCGTCTGGAGTCTCCAGTTCGGTGGCTGGTGTGGTACCAGTGGGTCCCCGTTGTGCCCAATGTGTTGTGTTTACAGGGGAATCCTTGCAGCAGATGCATTCTGCATCAAACAGATTTTTCTACACCACTAAACTGGTGTGGCGCAGCTTTGCGGGAACAATTTTTGTTCCGGCAGAGCCTCAGCCCAACCCCAGCCCAGCCCAGCCCAGCCACCCAGCCCAGAACCCCCCAAAACTTGGCAAACTCCTATTAAACCCAAACCCTAAACCCTAAACCCCTAAACCCCTCAACCCCTAAAGCCCTAAACCCCTCAACCCCTAAACCCCTAAACCCTAAACCCCTAAACCCCTTACCCTAAACCCCCAAGCCGTCACCAGGGCGAGGCTTCTCCTGGCAGAGCGACGAGCTGGCACCGCCTCAGAGCGAGGGCCCCACGTGGCGGTTCTGCCGGCCGGGGAGCCCGGGACTTCAGGGGATGGCTGGGGTGAGGGTTTGGGGATTTCAGCAGTTTCAGAGTTTAGGGGTTTCAGGGTTTAGGGTTTAGGGGTTTATGGCAAGGGTTGAGTGTTTAGGGGTTTAGACATTAGGGAGGACACGGATGTGTTGAAGAGCTTTGGGGTTGTCGGTTGAGTTTGGGATCGTGAAGCTGATCAGTTTAGGAGTTTCGTTATATGTTTAGAGTTTACACGTAATGGTTTCGTCTCCTGAAAGATCGGCAGTTATGAGAATTAGCATCATTCTCCTTACTGGTATATCCAAGACGCACGACTTGTGTGCCGCTGCTACTGTAGCTGTAATAGCACTGCCACTTGAGGTACCACTGCGTGCAACTGTGACGGTGCTCTTGCTGCTGCTGCTGCTGCTACTACTACTACTACTACTACTTCTACTTCTACTTCTACTTCTACTTCTACTTCTACTTCTACTTCTACTTCTACTTCTACTCCTACTCCTACTACTACGACT